CTGTCCCCATGTCTTGCTTCTCCCTGCTGTTCATCTGTCTGCACCACACCAGGGACCGCAGAGAGAACAGAGCCTAAGGAGTCCCCTCACTCTGAGTCCTCTGGCTAAGGGTCTTAGAGTCTTTATGTTCCGGCTCAGACTTTCCAGCTAGAAAATGGAGAGCCTGAAAAGAAGGAAAGGGAGTGGGAGGCACAGAGAGAATATAAATTCAGGGAAAATATGATGTGCCTCTTAACTTTCCAAAATAGTATTTGACCTTTCTGCTTACGTAAGGGAGTTTGCAGCTGAAAGGTCCAAGCCGTGTACGCCCTATGGATCAGGCAAATTTGGGCATGTCTGAGAAGTGGCTAGGTGGATCCACCAAGGCTCCTTGCATCTCAGGGGAATAAAGTCATCCCTAAGGAATAGGAGAGTGGGCATGCATTCTCACCCAAAGTCACAGATATCTGCCCAGTTGTAACCATGTTGAGAATAGTCACCAGTGTGTCATACACTATGATAATCAAAGGAAAGGAGGTTTTAATGTACATATTATTAATAAACTTTGCAAACTAGTTCCCTTGTGATTTCATTTGGGGACTACCACAAGGGAAAGAGCAATGTTTAAAAAAAAAATCTACATTCCTAAAATTGCCATAACCAAGAGGAACATATGGCTGTGGCTTTCAGAGGGTGGGTGGACAGAGGGTTGGTGGCTCCCTGGAGGAGTGACTTCCTGGTAGAGCATGCCGGAATACATTGCCTCATCATGGCAAGGAGGGAGCCATTCCTGTAACTGGGAACCTGGACCAAGAAAAGAACAGCTGAGGATGCTACTCTGAAGGCTGGCGTGCTCAGGCTGTAGACCGTAGACACTTACTAAACTCTATGGAGGGAGCCTGTAGGACAATGGAGAGTAAGTGCCACAGGCCACAGATACGAGCCACCTCATAACATGACCCAGGAAACACCCCTACAGGAAAATGTTGGAGAGAGCAGCATGTACTACATTAGACTGTCTTGAATTTACTGGATAGCAATAAACAAAGGATAAAAACACAAGTGCTTTTCTTTCTTCCTGGGACTGGGGGCAGTTCAATCATTTGCAAGTAGCATTTCAGTGGTAATGGGAAAGCTGGGCAGTATGAGTTTCGGAGGGAGAGGATATGTGTGAAGCAGAAATCATTTTGACTTTTTATAATTTATGGAATCAATGTGTTCCCATTGGGTTTTTTGTTTTGTTTTTGTTTGTTTGTTTTATCCATTGAAAAAGATAAACCAAAATTTCAAGATTCCAACATACTGTCAGACCTGGTTGCTCATGTCTGGAATCTCAACATTCAGGAGGCTCAGGTAGGAAGATTGCCATGGATTCCAGGTCAGCCTGGGCCACAGAGAGCTCCAGGCCAGCCTGGACTACAGTGGGCAACTCTGTCTCAATGAAGCAAAACAAGGAAAGACAACACACACACCACCACTACAACCTCCGCCAAGCCCCTCACACTGCAGTTTCTCTTCTCCTGTATTAGGGACACATTCTCAGGTCCCCAGCGACGACTAGAAACCACAGACAGTACAAAATCCTATACTTACCTTATTTTTCCTATACATAAATACTAATGCTAAAGCTTAATTCATATATTAGGCACAGGAAGAGAATATCACCAATAAATAACAAAGTGGGACAACTAAAATACACTATAATTAAAATGACAGGAATCTAGGTTTTCTCTCTTTCAAGGCGTTTCCTCATCATATTGTAGTTTTGGATCGGGGTTGAGAATTACCTGGATGGGGAGGGGGCACTACCCTGCTTTTATTGGTGGGGCCTTAAAGTAAACAAGGATAGCTTGGCAAACTATGAAACCCCCTTCCCATTTTATTTTCTGAGAAATGTTGTCTACTTTCCAGGGTCACTTCTCAGTGAAAACCAAAGCATAGAGCTGATCATGGCACCCATGTATACTCGTAGACCCCAGGAGGCATATACTGAACGATTGTGAGTTCAAGTTCAGCTTGGGCTACATTGTGAATTTAGGGCTAGCCTAGGCTCCACAACAAGACCTTGTCTCAAAAACAGAACAGAACAAAACAAACAGCTAAAGATTAAAAGAAGAAAATAATCCTGGTGTGGTGGTATATGCCTTTAATCTCAGTATTTGAGAGGCAGTTGGTCTCTGTGAGTTCAAGGCCAGTCTAGTCTACATAATTCAGTCCAGGACTACACAGAGAAGTCATGTTTCAAAAAAGAAATGTGGAAGAAGAAGAAGGGGAAGATGAGGAAAAGGAGAAGGAGGAAGAGGAGGAGGACAAATTATTTAGCTGATTATCCAGAGTTTTATATAAAGTTTGGTGTTTTGTTTTGTTTTTTTCTTGGTTACTTTTCCTCTTAATACTGCTCTGGAAAGTCAAATCAAGGTCCTCTAACTCTAGATTATCTGCCAGAGATGAAAATGTCTCTACATCATTCATTCATATCTTATAGCTTTATTAATAACTTTGAGGTTGGCTTTTGTGTCTGATATTCAACTGTGTGTATTTGTTACAATGAGAATACAGATATGTTTTGAAATAGGAACTGGAGTGATTCATTAATGTGAAAACATACACTCTAAATTGCTTTGCTGACTTGTTCTCCAGGGCACCAAGCAGTCAAACCCTTGACGGCTGCAGAAAGTAGAAACCTGAAGGTTACCTGTCCTGGTTAACTGGGCTTCCCAGATCCCACCAGACCCTCCCCAGAGCTCAGGCAAGAAACAGCTCTCAGGTCAGAAAGTATTTTGAAGGTTGTTTTTGTATTCTAAAGATCAGAACTGTTAAAGTTAAATGCTACCTGGGATTAGAGAAGCCATGAATCCATATTAGCTGCCTTATGATACCCCTCAAACCCCACTGTAAAAACATTTGTTCCTTCATATTTAGGATTTCTATCTAAACACTGAAGTCAAGTTCAAATTTTAAAATCAAAAGACATGCTTTTTGCACGGTCCCGTGAGACCTTGTAGGAACAAACACTAGGGTTTGTCCTTCATTTTATTCTATCCTGGTGGAACAAATATTTGTCAAGGTAGATGAGACAAGAATATCAGTGTGAGCTTGAGGCCAGCCTGGGCTATGTGAGTTCCAGGACAGCCTAGGCTATAATATATATCCTTATCTCAAAAGGAAAAAAAAAAGCAAGCAAATCACTATTAATGATTATGTTAAGATAAACATTAAATATTCTGTCATTTAAAGTTTGAAAGGAAGATGTATTTGGGGTTGGTGAGATGTCTTGGTGAGTAAAAGTGCTTGCTCCAAGGCTGATGACAGAGGCTGATCCCCAACTCACACAGTGGGACAGAACCAAGTCCTGGAAGTTGTCCTCTGACCTCTACCACACGAATGCTCTGGTTGGTACGTGCACACCATCTGTCTTTGTCTCTATCTGTCTGTCTTTCTCTTACACACAATAATAATAAAAAGTGAATTTTTTTAAAGGAAGAAAGATGTATTTAAAGATGCCGATGTCTGGGAAGACACTGTTGTGTGTCTCCAGGCTGCATTCTGCAGCCTCAGTCAGTCTGGGTAGGAGTCATTTTGGTATCTGACAAGGACATCTGCTGAACAGAGTCTGCAAGTTTTCTGTTTTCTGTTTGCCCTCTGGCCAAAACACATACCAAGAATGAAGATCCTAGATCTTTAGATCTTTTATCTTCCTTGATCCACTCCTTCAATAATCTGAAACATGAGCTTGAAAACAAACAAACAAAACAAAACAAAAAAAAACAAAAAACCCCAACGAACTTGCCTATGGAGTACACGCGTTTCTTCCACTTTCCCGGTTTCCTAAGCCATCCCGTTCTGCTCTATAAAACTCCCCCTTAAAAACTCCAGTTGCCTAAGATACAAATCATAGTGAAAACCTTGATCCCCCAACAATCTGGCAGTCAACTTTTCTCCTTCAACGAAGTGGTTTCTACAAAGCACGAAATATTTTTCAGTTTCAAATCTCCCAAACAACAGTTGTCCCCAGAGTTTTTTTTAAAGCAACTCACCGATGAGGAGTATTCTTGGCAAGTGGCTCTGGTAGGGTCAGTCCCACAGGTCTACATTTTGCTCAGCTTTTCGTTATTTCATCAGGGAAAAGCCGAAAGTAAAAAATCTCGGTGCTCTGTCAGGTCCCAGAGCCTCATCACACGCCCCAGCAGCGGCTTGCTGCGGCTTGTTTTTCAGGGACAGTGACCTCCAACACCTTTGATTTAGCGCTGCAACTCAGTCTTAATGGTTCGCCAGCGCAGGGAACACATCACGTGCCACGCCAACACCTTAAGAGGGTGGGAAGCCTTGTAACCAGGAAGACATGAAGAAAATACTCTGCAGTCAGCTCAGCTACACGGCTGGCCGGCCGAGCCCTGCTTGTTTGTCATGAAACAACACAATGAGCCACACACGGAGAGGAGGGGGACTGATTTATGCAGCGTCCAACAGCGAAGAACCGTCTGCGCGCCTGCCTGCACAGCTCCAAATGCAGCCCCTCCCTCGCCTTAGACCGAAATTCCGGCCAACCACTCAAGAACAGTGACGTCAGCATTTCTGAATATCAAATTCATTTTCCTTTCTGTTTTGGAGTCGATTTTTCTCCACCTTTTTTTTTTTTTAAAACCCACCTGATACTTATTTTCTTCGGGTCTTTATAGGTCAGTTCTACAGAAGTACATGGTCAACGAAAAGCAGTGATTTAAATTTACCTTTCTAGCCAAGGCACAGACTGCTCTAGGCTCAGCAGAGTGAGTGCCAATAACTCTTTCCCAACATTTAACCCTTGGTTTTCCAGCTTCACTACCAGGATGTCAGCAGTTTGCTTCAAAAGTAGCTTTCAGGTGAGCCGAGTTTCACAGTCCCTAAGAAGTGCCCTAACGTGAGCGAGACACGGTTTACTCCTTCATGACTACCGGGACTTCAGTTCTAAGAACAAATGTTGAACATTGGGGCCACCAAACAGGCTATGGGCTGTCTCCCACGATCTGAGTTAAACTCACCCCTTCGGTCTCTGAGACTGAAGCTTAAGCGTCTCCTTCCCAGATCTTCTGAAGGAGAACAGCGAAGCAAAGGATGACCGGAAGCTCATTCGGGGAGAACCAGATGGTTTTTGGTTTATTAAGTTTTTTGATCTTGATGTTTGTAATTCCATAGGATCTGAGGCAGGGGGGAAGGCAAAGATTTTACATTGTTAAAATCCTTGCAGACAGGGGCTGGAGAGGTAGCTCCAGTACGGAGCGCCTGCCTAGCATACAAAGCTTCTATCCCCATCACTGAAAGAATGGCGCCTGCCATAATCCCTGCACTTGGGAGGTGGAGGCAGGTGGGTAAAAGCTGAAGATACACATTACATTTTAGGCCAGATTGTGCTACATGAGACCATTTTTTCAAAACTTCAGATTAATATACTTTTTGGTTATTTTTAATTGGAGACAAGTTATGATTACATAGCTCCGGGAGTTGATTATATCAGCTCAGGGAGGCCAGGCTGATCTCAAACTTGCAATCCTCCTGCCTCAGTCCTGTGGTTAGAGGCATCTGCTTCTATGCCTGGCTTTCAGATAAATCTACAGAAAGAAGGAAGGTGTGGCTTTTCTTTTCCCCTTCTGCAGTCTGGAAGCAGCTTGCATCCCCCCCCCCCCCCAACGTGACGCCAAGAACAAAGGGAGTTCTCAGGGTCCTGTCCTCCAGTGGTTCCGCTGGGAGAGAAAAACTTCACATTAAATCGGGGTGTTTCAGTATGTGTCACAGGCCACAGTTCTGTACAGGATTCCTTGTTAGATGCCAGCTCTGGGGGCCTTTCTCATTACATCTTATACACAGGTGTCCAACATCCAAGTTAGTAAGTCAGGGGATCCATTCATTTCATATCTTGCTGATCCAAGAATCTTTTAGAAAATATCAGTTCTTTAAAATGATGGAGTTTTCATGTAACTCTTTGATGCCAAAGAAAGTAAATAAAATGGAAATGAAACCATTTAGAGTGTTCCTTATTCTTTTCCAAAATCTATCCTAGTGTGGTAAGTGATCTATCTATCTATCTATCTATCTATCTATCTATCTATCTATCTATCTATCTATGTGTATACATATATTTGGCTTATGCATATGCATGTAATATATATGTCTAATAGCATATAGCTTTATATATGAGCCTTCAATTTTAAATTTAAGGCCCATCAACACGTACAAAGACATACCATAATCCTTTGGTGCACGCTGACTTTACAAATATTGAAGTTCAAGGGAAGGCAAAGCCACCATGGCATATACACATGGGCTCAATCTACAAATCTGAGTTTGGGCTGGGGATGTAGATGGGTGGTGGAACACTTGTCTAGCATGCATGAAGCCTGGGGTTTGACCTCCAGCACCACGAGCACCACTACCACACTTACCCCACACAAGTGAAAATCTGGATTGTTCTTTTAGGTTGATTTTTTTCATTATGAGAGTGGGAGATTTTATCCATCTGTACCTTCAGAAATACTATCACCTGTTTCAGAGTGTTACTCATGGTGACAACATAGGTAAAAGCCGTCCACGAGACTGGTTCAGTGGCATGGCTAGTTTATAGTTGTCTGTTTCTGCCACGCTCACGGGTGTCCTGTGGAAACAGGTTTCACTACCCTCATTAACAGCTTAGGACAATTGGGTGAAGTTAAGTGCCAGGCTGGCAGTCACAGCCAAGTGTCCACAGCAGGCGCCTACTGCCACCCACTGTGGAGTCTCCTGAGACTCCAGAGGGACGACACCTCCTCCATCAGCTCTCCTCTTTCTGTGTTAAACTCCCAGCTTCTCTTCTGCCTTCCTCTTCGTCATCGTCCCATTGAGGTAAGTGCTCCTGGTTAATTCTCCGCCTTTCTTTCCTTTCCATTTTTTAGAGGACAAAGTCTCATTCTGCAGCTCAGACTGGCCTGAAACTCATGACAATCCTCCTGCCTCAGCCTCTCGAGTGCTGGGATTAAAGACACAAGCCATCACAATCAGCTCAGGTTAATTCTTTTTACTTTTAAGTTTTCAGGGTGTTGACATGTGTGAGTGTAGGTGTGAGTGTTTGCGCACGGCATGTTCGTGCATAAACATGAATGTGGAGGTTGGGGAATTCTTTTTTTTTTTTTTTTTTTTTTTTTTTTTTGGTTTTTCGAGACAGGGTTTCTCTGTGTAGCTTTGCGCCTTTCCTGGGACTCACTTGGTAGCCCAGGCTGGCCTCGAACTCACAGAGATCCGCCTGGCTCTGCCTCCCGAGTGCTGGGATTAAAGGCGTGCGCCACCACCGCCCGGCGGGGAATTCTTAATTTGTCACTTTTTACCCTTCTACCTTCTCTTGGTATTTTGCTCCTATGCCGTGTGGCAGGGTAGCCAGTCCAGAGACCTCTGAGAATTCTCCTGTCTCTGTCCCCTATCCTTCACAAGAGAGCGAGGTTATAGCTTACTTCCTGTGCCCAGATATGTAGGTTCTGTGGTTTTGAATTCAGCTCTTCATACTTGAAAGGTAAGTGTTTTCCTGCTGAGCTATCTCCTTGGCCCTTAGGCTAATTCTTAACACATATAATCTTATTTTATCCTATGAAGTAGACTTTATACACATTTAAAAATGAAAAACATATTGAAGTTTATCAAGAACAAATCATTTGACCATATTCACAGTGAGCTGTATCAGGCATCTTGTCATCCACCTAAACTGTCTAGCATACCCTATAGTGCAGAGCTTAGGTCCCATATAACAGTCCTGAGCCATAAATTGGTTAAACTGTAGATGCATGGATCCATTGTCTATAACACTATACCACAAAGCAAGGGAAACATAATTCAAAGCAAAATTATTTTTTTCTCACCATTTTTTGCCATCCCCTTCCGTAGCCTGTATGTAAGTGGTGGTTTTAACATCTGGCTAACATCTGTTTCATTGCAAAATTTCTTTCTTTGAATTTCTTCAAACCATTCACCAGTTGCTCCTTGAAGCCATCTGATATCCCTCTTTGTCTTTTGAAGTTTGCTGAAATAAAACAAAAATATCAGTGCACTGTTCAAATCCATTCCTAATTAGTGGACTTGTGTAATGAGCTAAAGTTTGCATATTAGAGAGGCAGCACAGGCTAATAACCTGAGGTAAGGTCGCCCTCGTTAGAATTCCCCTTTGATCATGGTGTCCATATTTACACACATTCTTCTGGAGATGGTGCATTCTTCTGTGTATGATGGCAACCTAAAAGTTTTTGCTGGTTGTTAAAATAATCACAGAGTCAATGACAAGAAACCTGGTCGAGCAATGTGTTAAGACCTGATCTAATAAAGCAACTAAATGATAGATGTCCTAATGACATGTAGAAACCGGCACAGTCTGGTTCTGATTACTCATTCACTTATTCATTAATATATTAAATGTTTATTGAGCAACATTAACCAACTAAATGTTTATTGAGGTCCCGTGCAGGCTGTGGGGAATGTAACAGATAGGACCCTTACTCATCTGTTTAGTGGTCAGCGACTAAAGCTAACATGTAGGCTGTTAATGGAATCCATGGCCTTTGGATGATTTGTATCAACACAAAAATACAAAAGACCGTGAATGTGAACGGTATTAGTGCTCAGACTGAAGAGGACAGTGGAGTTTGAGATGGACGAAAATACCATCCAGAGAGCAAATATGTGCACCTGACTATGCCTTTGGGATACTAGGCCTTATCCTAACACCAATATTTTCCCCCACACTTTCTCTTATTTTGCTGCCTTTCCAAAGAAAAGTTGCTTTGTGTCCTTAAGTAATTCCTGTCCAGGGTAAATAATTTTTCGGAGGACTCTAGAAGTATTTGAAAATGATGGGTGTTTAGTCCAGAGGGAGATGGCCCTGGATGAAGACCCTGGATGAAGAACATGATACCAACCTTAAAAACAGATAGTTTAGTACTGATGAAAACTTTAGGATTGTTGGTTTCCAAATTTGGGAACTTCTGGTGTTTGGGGAATTATTTCAAGTTCCTGTGGCTATAATCCTTTGTTCAAGGTCTTCTGGGAAGCATACGTGTTAGGTCTGTGTGTGTGTGTGTGTGTGTGTGTGTGTGTGTGTGTGTGTGTGTGTGTCTGTGTGTGTGTCTGTGTGTGTGTGTCTGTGTGTGTGTGTGTGTCTGTGTGTGTGTGTGTGTGTGTGTGTTGTTTCAGAATAAGGTCCCTGTTATGTAGCCCTGACTGGCTTTGAACTCACAGCAATCTTTTGCTTCAGTTTCTCAAGTGCTAGGATCACAGGTTTGTGTCACTGTACCTGGCTTTAGCGTTGGGTTTTTGTATTGCTAAGAAGATAGCAAGCAAGAAGACAGTCAAATGGCCACTTTGGAGTTAAAGCCAACGAACCAAGAAGGCTGTAACTCACTCCTGCTTGAGGCTACGATACTGCTGTTTTATAAAAAATCATTTGAGAAGCCAGGGGTCATCCTGCCCAGACTTGCATTTTGAAAAGCATTAGGCAGCAGCGTCATTATGTTCAGCCTGCAGCCTACAGATTTGCCCTTGTGCCTCTCTTTTTGCTGTGGCCACCTCCTGTCACCTGGTTAGTCACCCCTGTCTCTATTGACGTCTCCTGTACCAAGAGAACAAAAAGACCCCCAGGATCTGCTTCTAAGCAATATTGGCATTTCCCTTAAGAATGTCTCTCATCAGTCTATGAAGTCCATTTTCGTAGAGCCCTCTCTAATTGTTGGTTTCCCCAAAGCCTGATCCCTCCTCTTCTCCTGACATACCCATCTTATTTCAGAAGTTACCTGACTTAGGGTGTTCTCTATGAACCTATACAGAGGACACAGCCCTCCGGCCCCCTTATAGGCTTGATGCAGCTTGAACTCGCTTGTAAAAATCATCACAGTCAGTCCACAGCGAGCACCACTCTGCTTGCACACATGTCCATCACTGTGTCTTTTCCACATTGTGGCCAGTGAAGCTAGTAATCTCTGTTTCCCTGTGAATACTCGGACACTTTGCATTCTATTCCAGGAAATAGATCTTAAAGTAAGAACTACGCTCAAGTACACACATTTACATGAATACCATGTTGTTACTAACTGTAATTATACAGGCAATGTAGAATCCTAGCAAAATGGATGCAGTGTGAAACAAAAAAGAAACCAAACATAGCATTGAATCTATGATTACAGCTATGCAGAAATGATACAACCATTTGGATAGACTAGGGAAAATTAGAAGCATCTAATCTCTTACAGTAGAGTAATTATAGGTACTGTGTCTATGGCTAGCCTTTTTGTTATATGTATGCTATAATTACAATGTATTAGAAGAGCTATTTCTTTCTGTTAAATTGTGAAAATTCTTTTACATTATCATTTTGAGAAAAGTTATATTTTTATAATTCTTACGGTGGTTTTGTTGTTGTTGTTGTGGCTTTTCCCTGTATTTTTACATGGTTTGGTAAATGTATCCAGTATACATCTGGAGAAAGCCTCCTGCTGTGCAGATCCTGGGATACCTCAGTAGGCAGAGTGGGAATGGCCCTTCCCTGAGTCTAACAGGAGAAGGCCACAAGAACCCCACAACGACACAGATTAACTAGGTAGTAATGTAACTTAGTGGTGCATGTAACTTAGGAATTCAACACACATTTGAACTCTGGGTAAAGAATGGTGAACAAGCCAAGTCCCTGTTCTCACAGAATTCAAATTCTACTGGGGTGGGAACACTGTCTGTGTGAGTCGTCAGGAAGAAAAAAGTAAAGAGGTCACAAGAGAGTGTTACAAGGGGAACTCCTCTAGAGCAGCGATGAAGATTCCCTGAGATGATGGGGTGGAAGGCAAAGGAAGAGGAAAGGCCTGCGGAGACATCCTAGGCAGAAGTGTATCAGTTGTAGACAGCGTCCTAGGCAGAGGAGTATCAACTGTAGACAGTGTCCTAGACATAAGAGTATCAGCTGGAGACAGTGTCCTAGACAGAAGAGTATAAGCTGTAGACAGTGTCCTAGACAGAAGAGTATCAGCTGGAGACAGTGTCCTAGACATAAGAGTATCAGCTGGAGACAGTGTCCTAGGCAGAGGAGTATCAACTGTAGACAGTGTCCTAGACAGAAGAGTATCAGCTGGAGACAGTGTCCTAGACATAAGAGTATCAGCTGGAGACAGTGTCCTAGGCAGAGGAGTATCAACTGTAGACAGTGTCCTAGACAGAAGAGTATCAGCTGGAGACAGTGTCCTAGACAGAAGAGTATCAGCTGGAGACAGTGTCCTAGGCAGAGGAGTATCAGCTGTAGACAGTGTCCTAGACATAAGAGTATCAGCTGGAGACAGCATCCTAGACAGAAGAATATCAGCTGTAGACAGTGTCCTAGACATAAGAGTATCAGCTGGAGACAGCATCCTAGACAGAGGCATATCAGCTGGAGACAGCATCCTAGACAGAGGCATATCAGCTGTAGACAGTGTCCTAGACATAAGAGTATCAGCTAGAGACAGCATCCTAGGCAGAGGAGTATCAGCTGTAGACAGTGTCCTAGGCAGAGGAGTATCAGCTGTAGACAGTGTCCTAGACATAAGAGTATCAGCTGGAGACAGCATCCTAGGCAGAGGAGTATCAGCTGTAGACAGTGTCCTAGGCAGAGGAGTATCAGCTGTAGACAGTGTCCTAGAGAGAAGAGTATCAGCTGTAGACAATGTCCAAGGCAGAAGAGTATTGTAGACAGCATCCTAGACAGAAGAGTATCAGCTGTAGACAGTGTCCTAGGCAGAGGAGTATAAGCTGTAGACAGTGTCCTAGGCAGAAGAGTATTAACTGTAGAGAGCTGCCTAAGTAGAGTGTGGTAATGGAGAGAAAAGTCTAAAGAGGCAGCCATAGTTTTCTGTAGCATTTGGGGTCAGGTAAAGTGTTGGGCATTTGAAGCAATGGTGCATGTGTGTGAGTCACATTGTATTTACATTTAGCTACAGGCAGAGAACAGATTCCAATGTGGGACTGAAGACCAGTCAGAATCCCTATAGAGTCCAGTAGAAAAAAGTCATTTATTTCAAACAGTTTGATGATGGTGGAGCCGAAGAAAAATAGAGAATTGCCGGGCGGTGGTGGCGCATGCCTTTAATCCCAGCACTCGGGAGGCAGAGGCAGGTGGATCTTTGTGAGTTCGAGGCCAGTCTGTGCTACAGAGTGAGTTCCAGGAAAGGCGCAAAGCTACACAGAGAAACCCTGTCTCGAAAAACCAAAAAAAAAAGAAAAAAAAAATAAAAATAAAAATAGAGAATTGTTAGAGATGGAGTGATTGGGGTTAAGGGTGCATGCCAAGGAAGACCCCTAGATTTCTAATTGATACAGTACATAGAAGATGCGATTTGTAGAGATCTAGCATATAGAGCATTAAAACAACATTTACCAAAAACACCTTTAGGGCTAATGAGATGGCTCAGCAGGTCAAGGCTCTTGTCACCAAAGCTGGTGACCTGAGTTCAGGTCCTGGGACTCCCATGGTAGAAGGTGAGAACCACCCTCCCAAGTTGTCCTCTGACTTCTACACGTGTGTCTTGATGCCTGGACATACACACACACACACACACACACACACACACACACACACACACACACCCCAAAACCTACTTGTAAAATTGCTTATTTTCAGAGCAATCACTAAATATTCAAGGTAATATGTTTTCCATCCCCCAGGAAGAAGTCATTGAGATTTCCTCTTGTAAATACTTTTGTAATGAACATACCATGCATTTTTTTTTACCTCTTTGGTGTTTCAGACAGAAATATAATGATGGGGCTAAAGAGTCAATACATTTTTGTGATTCTTTATACATAAAACCAAAATGCCTTTCAAAAGGTATTAATCAGGTGACAAGGTACAAGCCTACCAGAAGACAGTCTTAGAAAGCTAGGTACAATTATTACAACTGTTCTTATTTTCCTTATGTAATATTTTAAGGGTACTGTATAATTGTTAGTAAGTATTTTTGCTTTGAGAATTTTTGTTTTCTGCTTAGTAAAATATGCTACATTTCTAAGAAATGA